TGTGGCCACACAGATATTGTGTGAATTTTCTCTATTGAAGACTTAGTCTCACCTGTTGATATTTCTTGTCTTGATGTGCAGCGCCCTCGTGCTCTAGATCCACATTACGCAGGTACATCATTTGAAGATTCTTAATCTCAGATTCTTTCTGTTGTCGTTTATGTTTGAGAGCGTTGAATAGCTTGGCTTTTTCACACACCTTCTGGTCCATAATTGAAATGGCTTGCTATAAAACAAATATATTTAATAAATACAATGAATTGCTACAGTGTTGTATATTATGGTGTTATCCCTCGAGTGAGTCAAAACCAGATCGTATTTTCTACTTACTGGGGCACTGGCTCTTCGAAGAGAAAGACGCTCACGATGACGTTTCAAGAATGCCACTCCAACGACTTTCTCATCTTCCTGTAAATAATAAATAAAAGAAATGTAGTAGTTGTTTACACATTGTAATATTTATAAATAAATAAATAAATAAATAAATAAATAAATAAATAAATAAATAAATAAATAAATAAATAAATAAATACTAACATTAATACTCTTCGCAAGTTGAACACGTTTCTTTTTACATTCTTTTCTAAGATGAATAATATATTCGTCGTTGTGTTTCTTTGCTATTTCGGAACTATCAAAGTACGCCCTGTGATCGCGATCTGAGAACCACAGCAGAAGTAACGGTAAATTAGTATAAATACTAAATAAAAGTTTTCAGTTACATATTATAAGTCACCAGTTGTTAACTATATAGTCTCGCCAGTCTTCGTTTACATTAAAACTTAACACAGGAGAGATTCGCCATGAAAAGTGTCTGCTCCGCGTCTTAACGCGTCCGCGGACGCGTCGTACGATAGAACGTTTTCAAGTGACGTCACAGACGCTACTGATGTTGGTGAGGGAGTACAATGAGTGGCGAATGTTTGCATTGAAACAAAACTACCAACGCATCAAATAATATACTATTTATGGCATAAATTGTGTGATTAAATCTGAAAACAAAATTGAACATGCTTGTCGGCAGTCACGAACAAATAGTAAACATTTGAACGTACAAACCAACGAAATATGAATGGGACAATTTTTTTAAAGCATTTTCGGAATATATTATATTAAATATGCGATAACTCACCTTTGAGGGCAAGCTTGTTTCTTAGTTCATCAACTTGGTCTTGCAGCGTCCAGCCAGTGCGCGACATTTTAACCTGGTAACAATCGAGGAAAATTAATGAGCGTACAAATAAACAACATGGTGGTAAGAAAAATGTCTTGAAACGAAAATGCGACTGTTCAAACGTTATACTAGTTATGATCGATCTTATATGAAAAGTATGCGCCTATCTTACCACAGCGTGAGAAGAAATGCGTGGATTGTGTAGAGAACTTTAAAGTACGTCTTGTCAGTATGGTGCGTTGCGGCTAAATGTAACGCGCACTGAGGCGTCCGACCACGTTACATAGCAACTTGAATGGGCGTTCTGGAACGCTGTAATATCGCGATATTCTGCGTGGTTTGGGGCCGGCGCAATGCGTTCAGTGCATTGCATTTTACACTCTAAGTTATGTATAGGGGAAATATTTCAGTAAATTAATTATGTAAATATCGAATAAACACTTGTGCCAATTGACCGACTACTACGCTATTTGCGCTGGCCCACTGTCCCAAGGCAAGTGCATTTCTGTGAGGACCAGTAAGGGGTTAAACGTTTAAAACCACGAGGGGTGGCTGGAAGTGCATTTTTTCGTGGTGTCTTGTCTGAACATTTATTATTTTCACAAATGTGCCAAAACATATTTTCGCTGCAACACCTTGCATGCATTTCTCGGTGTCTAGGTTGCGTTCTTCAGCATTTTTTTCCAACCACCCCTATGATTTTTAAATAGTCGACCCTTAAAATATTTTGAATGATGGTCCACCTATATAGTTATTGTTTTCTATTGAATTTCGTAATGTTGACAACCACTTGTCATTGATATCCTGTTATTTTCTTTTGCGCCTCAAAATTGCAGGTTATGAATAGGAGTAGGAACATAATGTCTTCCTTTATTTGTCAATTTTATGTAGGGTTATCACATTCAGTGTCATGCTTTCCAAAAAAAAGCATATTTTTTACCAAAATGTTCTCCTAGTAGGTGTCAGTGTTTATGGAAGGTACTCCCATATACGGGTATGCGTCACAGTTTTGACAGTTTTCGTCTATTTTAAAAAAAAAATAGCAATATTTTGACGAATAGCGCCCTCAATGTCAACCTTTTTGGGTTCAGTTCTTAACTGGACGCGGAGCACTCGCACCCAAATTCAAAGTAACCCCCGACTTGTTTCAAACATTGTCATATTTTTCGACCGTTTTCTTGCTCATACCATGCCATACAATACACGTGTAACATTGCATATAAAAAGAAAGAAAGTGTGATGAAAATATGGGGTTACCATACTCAGTTTGGAGAAAACATACGTATGCAATGAAATGAGTATATTTTGTCAGTTTTAGTGCATTTTACTGTTGTTTCCTATGGCGATGATGTCTATATCTATATTTTATAGTCGATTTTTAATAATCAAAATAGTTTATTGTTTGCAAACAATACATTATTTAAATTGACGATATAATACTAAAAATGTTAAATGTATCACAGAAAACAGACGCAGATCAGGCAAGAAATTGGTTATGAAATAATATAACTGTAAAAATACAACCCATACTAATGTATAGAGCAGACACACTAGTATTATGATTAATTTCACTATGTTCACAGCAAAACAAAATGCATACCGTACTGTGGGACCCCAAATGTGTCAACAACGGAAATTGGAAAAGTGGCGTTTCGAGTCGGCGTCGCCCACGTGAGTTTTACTAAATTGACATTATAATGTATTATTTACTAAAACGCCTACTTATTTCTTTAATCATCTGCGTTATTGCACTCAATTTTTAAACTATGCACTTTTAGTGTGCGTTGCTTCGTTGCTTAGGGCTCAATTCCTGTGTGCGGGCAGATGAAGACCCTCTCTCTAATTTGGCTAAGCGGAGAAAAAAGCGTAAAGAACTTCGTGTGAACAAACACTATTTTCTTGGAGATTTGGTGAAGTTTAGTTAAATTAGGGTATGGTAAATGATTTAATTCAGACAACGTGTCTATTATATAGAATTTAAATTCAGGTCTAATTACACATGAAGATTTCAATAATATGTTTGATTTTCAGGCCCGTAGTTTGGGGGGG